CACAGAGTGGTCTCAGCAGGAGCTCTGATTTTCCACGATGGAAAAACCCAGAATCAAATGCCAAAATATAGCCATCTAGAATTTATCTTATTATAGTGATGGAGGCACGGGTAGGTTTCCAAATTGCTTTAAAACTGTAAATATATCAATAAAACATGGTGTTCATTTGATACCTTTTATATAGAGTGGCCTTTCATTTTTATCAGAGAATTTGCAATTTTTTTGATCCGAGAAAACCAGGATCCCTGCTGCTCAGTCCAGAAAACACAACCTCCTTCCTCTCCTACTTCCCTGAGTGGCTCTCTCGCTGTCTCCTGTACTTGTGAATGCCATGATCCCATCACTTGGTTGCCTGGCTGCACACCCCATACACCAGCCCCACAAACCTGTCTAGCAAGATCAAGTGTAAAAGCGAAGGCTAAAGTTTCTTCGCAAACACAGCTGGGGACAGGCCAGCTGTAAATCCACAACTCTGCCCTGGGGCGCAGGGGGTAGAGCTGGCAGCAGACTGTGTTTCAAAAGAAAACTTAAAAGCCAAAGCTCAGCTGGCTGCAACCACTGAGTGCTGGAAGGAGGCCTTTCAAAACAGCCTCCAACTCCGTGAATGGCTCCAGCAGCCAGCCCGAATCCTCCCCATTGCCCCAGCCAATGGAAAGAGCCTGCAGCCCCCTGCCTGCCCACACTCCTCCCGCATTGCTGCATCCTATTGCCCAGCTGGGAGCTCCAAGTGGAAATTGCATCCAGACTGCTTTGGTGACGGGGTGTGGGAAGAGGAGGGGCTTTCTGTTTGGGCTGCGTACACTGTTCTACAAACAAATCTCTGCTTCCTGGGTGAGGCTGCTCGTGCTAGTGCCAGCCATGTGCCCCGTGGGTCACTTGTGAAGCAGAGGGGACACCACAGTGGTGTGCACAGAACAGGGTGGCATCTTGGCAGTCAGCCCCTTTGCACTGAAAAGTTTGTTTTTCTGGTGGTTTCAGCCAGCACTAGTTGTTTTTTTAAGAAACCAGGGAGCAAAACAGGATCCCCTAATGAAATGTAAGGAAGCATGAATTTTTCCTATAGTCATTCTGTTTAAATAGCTCATTTGTGGGCATCTCTGTTACTGATCTGTGTCTGTCACGTAGAGGCAGAGGTTCCTGGTAGCAGATACTAGCAGGTCAGTGTTACATTTCCATTTGCCTTTTCTTCTCCCTCTACCTCCCAGGGGGTCGCCCCCCTCACTGGAACACTCTCAATTCTCCTGACCATGGATTATTTCTCCAGCCACAGGATTAGGTTTCTCATCGCTCAGAATCCCACATCTGCCCTGCTGGGCCTGCTAGGTCCTCTATGGTCTGAACAGCTGCAGTATTCATGTATTTTGATGCTCAGCTCCCAGCAGAATCAGGGCAGTATTTAAGGATTTTTTTTTAAGTGCTGCTGTGATGTCCTGTGACAGCCAGATGTATTATCTTGTGTCCTGTTTCTCTTTGGCAAGAACACCTGCTGTGTTAGGAGCCCTGGTGTAAATGCTTTGGTATACATGGTTTTATGTTGTCAAGTCATGCATGTATTGGTAAATGGGAATGGTCTTGCGTCCACTTGTTTTTAATAGAGGTGCTCTAAGTAGAGAAATAGGTTCTTTCCCTTTAAAAAATTATGGATGGTTGGGCACTCACCAGTGTGAACTAATGAGTCCTACTCCATACAAAAGAGATGGGGGATACTGGAGTCACACAGTCATCTCAGAGGATACCAACTGGGGGCAGCGGCCACAAGGCAGATCCCATATCCTGGTGTGGGAGTCCCCATCTATCAGAATCCATCGGGGTGGGTGGGGAGGGGGGTCTGTCCCCCTGTGCCCCTGGAAAGCTCCCTCAACGCCTAGGTGATGCAGGGAATCCAAGGGAGGCCAGAGCCATCCTTGTAGAGGCCCCAGTCCTGCTGCACTGTGCTCCTGTGGCCCTTGCCTATATCTCTAGTTCTGGGTATGAGATTAGCCAGCTCCTTCGTGGAAGCGGATGGGTTGAGGCTGACTGGGCATTGTAGGGCTCTCTGTGGCTCTAGATACATGGTGGCAGGTGCCTGACTACTTGAATAGCATTTGTGCCTCGGGCAGTAGCAGACCCTCTGGCCAGTTCTGTTCCCTGGGAAGGGCCCAGCAGCTCAAGCCAACTGGAAGGGGGTGTGAGGGCCACATACAGCTCTGCCATGTACAAGTGGGATGCCTACAGTAGATAGGTGGGGGTTTCCAACATGCAGCTGGGTCCAGAGCTTTTCTTTTTTCCACAGCAGTCAGGGCTGCCTCAGTACTGGCGAGAGTGCCCAGAGCTCACAGAATGAATCCCTCCTGGGGCTTCCTGGGTGCTGCCAGAGTGGCCATGCTGGCTTCTGGCCCAGACTCCTCTGGGTCTCGCCTGCCACGCACATTGCACCAATTTACTGATGTACACATGCCACTGACCCTGCTGCAGATGCTGTCCTGATGCTTTGAACCTAGTCTGGACCCAGTAGCATCTCCCCCATGAATTTGTCAGCCAGTGGGTCCTTGCTACATGCACCCAGACCCAGAGAGATGGGCAGACAGGAGTTGCTTCTCACAGAGAGGCAAATATTTTATTCCATGTGCCTCATACTTCTCACATCAGATGCACACAGATGGCACCCTTCACACAACAGACAGACATAACCTATACCACCCAGAAACAATATAGAGCATGCTACACACACCTCAGCATGCCCCAACACATCACCGATGCGTGCCTCACACTTCTAACAGGCATTGTACGTCTTATGCCACCGAACATACACCCGACACAGGCAGACACGGCATGCTGCAAACACTACACAGATACAGGACACGTGGTGCTTACAGGCCTATGTCTCATGCTCTCCAGATGCATATAATACACACCATGCCTCATACTGGCACACGTCTGATCAGCACATGACACCCCTTGTACACACACACCACGTACTCTCACTTCACACACCAACACAGATGCACACATTTCAGAAACAACCTCATGCACAACACAAAGACACGTGTACCTCAAACACTTCAGCGACATATGGAAAGAGGTGTGCGCACAAGTACCCCCAGGTATTCCTGTACACCAGAGGTGGCCAACCTGCTGCACATGTGCCACAGGTAGCACAGGCAGGTACCACATGTGGCAGGCAGTAAATCAGGCAGGAAGCACGGAACAGAGTAGCAAATAGGGCAGGGAGCAGAAAGCAGAGCAGCAGTTCAGGCAAGGGAAGAGGATTGGAGTGGTACTTGGGGAGGTCCCAGCTGTTGTACACAAACACGGCTGGCCTGAGGCTTCGACGCACCTCCTGCTGGGGGCTGGTTCAGACACTCCCAGCCCCAGTTCCCATCCAGCTGAGAGCCATGGGCCATCCCCTCCCATCACTGCACCAGTTCCAGCAACTCGGCAGAGCTCATTCTTGTGGCCAGAAAGGGCTTCAGCATCCTAGAGACCTACCCACAGGAACGCACAGCCACCAGCACACACGCACTCTCACAGACAAGGCACGTCCTCAGGGGCACACCCACAGCAGAGGCAAGCACGCCCCTAGGAGAAACTCTGGCAGGCAAAGCTCTCACATACTGCAAAGCAGACCCACGTAGACAAGGCACACATGTAGTGACTGCGAGCGCAAACACACATACACACGCACGGAAACAATGGCAAGCAAGGCGAACAGACGCTGAGAATTTGACCCAAGGCAAACACACATACATACACACGCAGAAGCAGCTACAGGAACGCACACAAACTGGGACATTAGAGGCAGATCCACGCAGGCAAAAAAAACAGATGCACATACTCCGAGGAACAATCACAGATTTACAAACAGGACACCAAGAAATGCACACACGGGAACACACTTACTGAAGAACTCATTCTTTCTCTCTCTTCCTCTACTTCTCCCCCTGTCTTTCTCTCCCTCTCCCCCCCCACCCTCACAAACACACACACACATACACTAAAGCACTTCCAAACTCTCCTACTCCAGGCAGGCACGCGCTATCCCTGCCTAAGGGCTACTGGCTCTTGATTTATCTGCTGCAGGAAGGCATCCAGAATGTAGCCCCACCAATTCCAGTCCACCCCATGCGAGCTTGGAGGGCATGGGATAGGTAACCCTGACCTGCCACAGGGAACAGAGCTGGCCAGGGAGAATTGCATCTAGGAGGACCCCAAACTCGCTGCTCCTCTTCTCTGCAGAACCTCCAGGCTCCCGATGGAGCTGCTGCTGCTGCTGCCCATCTTGTGGCCATCCTGGCTCCCAGTTACCCAGGCAAAGGTAAGCCCTTGTCTCTTAAACCAGTTTCTCTGTGCGGGACGCTAGCTTCAGGTTTCCTGGCTGTAACAGACTTGCATACTCCTACCCCGCTGAGGAATGACAGCATTCTTCTGAGCTGCTTTTCCAGCTGCACAGCTGCACCAAATTAGCGACGTTTGCAATTACCAGCTGGCTCTTTTCCTCCTCTCCCTCCCCAGTGCCCTCTCGCCCTGGAGCCTGCAATCAGAGTCTGCTAACTGCTGCCATGGCGGTTCAGCTCTTGGCTTGGGGAATCCTCTGTTTGCTGTTCACAGGAGGTTGTGCTGCTTGGGAGCCCTTTCCCCCCCCTCCCCTGCCAGCTTTGCAGTGGGTGGAGGGTCCAGGAATGAGTCAGGCAGTAGAGTCGAGAGGGAAGTAACTCAACAAAGATGACTTTTTCTCTGTAGCCTGTTGGGGGAAGAGGACGGAGCAGAGCTACTTCCCTTAAAGTTGAGGGAATCTGGGGCTCTCCCCAAGAGCATTTGCCCCAGGGTGTCTCCAGTCCAGCTGCTGAAGGAGTGCACCTGAGCAAGCACCCATCCCTGGGGTTGAGAGTGCAAGGGGCTCCACACCTCTTGGGGTCCAGCTGTATATTTGCAACCTGCCTTCCTTCTCTTCAGAAAGCAGCTGGACGGATTTTTAGGCTGTCCTTCTGCTAAGAGGAGTTGCCAGGTAGCCAGTTCAGCACTGATCACTGACGTCATGGAAGGAGGGTGATGGTTTGTTGGGAGTCACTGAGGGGAAATCGATTCCAGCAGGGACCATGGCCTGTCTTGTGAGCCTCAGGACAACTAGCCTCTGCTGCCTGCCCAGTTGCTATCTGATTTTCTGCCCAAAATTTCCAAGTGGGGTTTCTCCCATCCCTTCTACACTACAGATCCAAACCTCCATCCAAACTAGTATTCCCTCCTCCCTGTCTTCAGTCCCAGATGGTCCAGGTCTTGTGTGAAAGGCTTGGGCGGTCCAAGTGCTTAGCATGGCTGTGGGATGCTAGTGAAGGATGCAGTGTAGATCCCAGCTGCACAGTGGACTGCTCCCTGTTGTGACTGTGTCCCAGGCATGGCCACACCTGCACTCGGGATGGAGCATCTGCCTCTCACAGTTCCTTAGCTGTCACCAGCTGTAACGATGGTGCAAGACACTTCCATGTGGGATACAGGGCTGGAGCACAACAGGTTTAGAGATATTAGGGCTGGAAGGGTTGTTAACACCATCTACTCTGACCTGGCAGCACAGGGGACCTCACTCAGGGGTTTTGTATCAAACCCAATAACTCCTGGCTGAGCTAGAGCAGAGTTTTTATGAGGAGACCCATTCTGGGTTTAACCACACCAAGAGATGGAGACTCCACCCCACACCTCTCCATTAAACTGTGTGCCTATGCTTTTTCTAACTAGAAGTTAGTTGTTTGGATTCAGCTTCCTGTCATGACATCTCATTATGCCCTCATGAAAGAGTATTCTGCTACCCAAATCTGGTAGCATAACTAAGGTGGGGTGACCAGGGCAGCATCTCCAAGTGCCAAACTGGTGGTGTGAGCTCGGGGGTGACAATGGCCATCACTGCTGTCGGCTGGCCACACTCAGCACTGGCACCCAGGCACTGCTGCTGCCCCATATGTGCCACTGCCCTGTTACAACTCTGCCTAAAAGTCTTCCATGTGCGGGGAAGACTTTTTACCTCCTCTTGGGTAAGAGTCTTGGGTCTCATTTGGTGACTCCAATTCCACAGGTTGACAGATGCAATGAGACAACCTCAGAGGGGCCTGCGGAGGATGAAGCAATGCCTAGCAAGAGTGGTGAGTAGTGGGGAGCCAGGGGGTTTCCTCCTAGTGCTGGGATTTAAGGGTGCCCGGTATCTTTGAGCTGCAACAGGAACTGGGATCTTAGTGGGTGCATCTACACAAGACACTAGAAGCGCAGAAGTGCAATAGGTTAACTCTACTGCGCATTAGCACATCACGGCAAAAGCCATACTAATGCGCTAATGCACAGTGTCACCTAAAACACGTGCGTTGGCGCTACAGCGCAGTAGCTCCAATTACGATGCATTAAGTTAGTACCTGTTATTAACTTAATGCACCCTAAATATGATGTGTTAATGCACATGTAGACTTGCCCAGTAATAACAAACTAGAGCCTATTTGAAATTTGATGCAATCAGAGAGTATCCTGACTGCACCCCTATGAAATAAGTATCATAATGAAAGAGGCAGTGTAGGGATCACCCCTGCCCTTATTGGCTGGCCCTAGAACTGACATTGCTTTGTTAGTAGTTGATAAAATTGTCCCTCAGGTCAAGAAACTGGACTTTTTAGTGCAGGAGGATCTGGGTTCTGGCTCCTTTCTTGCCATGGAGCATTGAATGGTGACGATGGAAGTGGATTTTCTGGCACTGCACCTCCCTCTTCCCTGTTATAGATAGATGGGAGAAACTGTGCCCCCCTCAGGCTACAGGGCATTGACCATAGGAACCAGCAGGTCACAGAGCTGGGGCTCTGAAAGGATACCCACTCTGTGCTTCATCCTGTGGCTTTTTTCTGCAAAGCCTCAGGAATGGCAGTGTTGCCTTTCCTTTAAATGTGGTGACAGGGCTTAAATATCCCCCTTGCTGCATGTCCTGGGAGGAAGGGGCCTGGAGCCCCCTTGGCAGAAAGCACCTGCTGCCCTAGCTGAGACCAGACATGAGTCTAACAGCATTTAAAGCTTGTGGTGCCCTGAGGGGGACCAGCCTACTGCGCTGCTGCAGTCACAGTGCATGGAGGGAGAACAGGGCTCAGAGGAATAAGCAATCCAGACTAGGCAGCGCCCAGTGAAACCAGTAGGGATGAGAGGCCCAGGTCACTGCAGAGTTAGGCAGAAATGTTGCTGGTCGCATCTGTATCCTGTTAGTTCATCAGACAGGGGCTGCAGCGGTGTGGAGCAGAGAGCAGAGTAACGAAAAGCTGGCTCTTGGGCAGACCTCCAGAGAGGCGAGGCCTCCAGCAAGATGTCCTCCACGCCTGCCCTGCAATTTCAGCTCGGTGCCAGTCCTTTCCCCTAGTTCCTGCATGGTTTCCAGTCTCGGCAGTGCAGAGAGGGTTTTAGCTGAGTGCTGCCCTAGTGCTGACAGTTCCTGCTATGCCGCAGAGCAAAGCCCTGGCTTAGTGAATCTGAGCAGTCTGCTGGGATAGGGCCCAACCCTCATACACTGCACTGTCCCCTCCTACAATACAAGATGGAAGTGTTAGTCCCCACTGTCATGTCCCAGAGCACGGACCAGCAACAGCCTCCTTGTCTGTTCCTCCAGGCGGGGAGAGGCAGGCAGGGATTCCAGCTCCTACTGAATTGCCCTCAGCTGCTGTGAGAATCCAGGACTAATTCCCATCCTTGAGGCACAGATCCAGGGATCAGGATGTGCTTGTATTGGGCAGCAAACATGCATAGCACCGGAGGACTGTGCCTCTTTAAACAGCCAGGATGGATGGACAGTTTAAACATGGCTGAGGCTCCCAAACCCACAGGATGCTGACACCTGGAGTCTTGTCCCACCAGGTGATTCTGCTGTTTTTGAGGCCACCCCCACAGGCTTTGAAGAGCCACACACAGCTAAGAGAGAGCCCTGAAAAGATGTGGCTCCACAGCTAGCTAGGTGCTTGGCTTCTCAGTCTTTGGTTGTGAGCTGAACTTTTGCTAACTTGGGACCTCAAGCCATGGGCTGCCCAGCTGTGGACTGTGCCAGACAGTGCCCCGGCTCTGTAGCAAGGGCTGGGGGCCCTTGTTCTAGACTGTGCCTGGGGGTCAGCTGCAAGGCATTGACCTGCGGGAAGCACAGCAGTTCATGGAGTTTCCTGTTGGTACGGTCTCCCTGCCATGCTGTGCTATACAGCTTGCACACTTGTGTGTGGGGCATTCCCTACCCCTCAGGAAAGCACCTCCATGAAGCTGCAGCTGAGCCCTGCATAAAAACCTCCAGGAGTTTTCTCTCTGTGTAGCTCTACAGGGAGGAGTCGGTCACAATCTGCTCCAGGGATGCACTGTGGTTTGGCAGTACTCTCCCTCTCCCCCACCCTGCTCTTCCTCTTTTTCCTCCTCTCCTCTGGGTTTCCTCTTAAGGGAAAAAAGAGAAATGAACTCCGAACAAAAGGCAGAACTAAGGGGCTGAAACTCTGGATGCCTCTGCAGGCCATCCTGGGGGTGTCTCTTGCTATGTTGCCTGTTGAAACAAGTCTGCCTAGTCTTCTGGGGAGAAGAGATCCCAGTGCCATGTGGCTGGTGTTGATCTGTCCTGAACAAGGGGATGGAATGAGTGCCAGATTCTTCTGACTGTAGCTGGATTATTTGCCCTAATGGTGCTGTTGCTAGCCAGAGCAGGGAAGGCCATGATGGACCAAGCCCCAATCCACAGCCAGCTCTGTTGCTACAAGTCTGCCCCGCAGGCACTGCATGCTGGTAATGCCACTCCAACAAGTCTGGGCAGCAAGGACGCACCACAGCGTTGGGTTGTGCAACTGTGGCTTGCTGCCTCCCAGCTTCTGCTATCCCCACCCGGAGCTGGAGGGGCTTGGTCCCAGCAGCTCTCTACACCTTCCCCTGTGCACAGGCCGAGCTGGGATGAGCTCTCTTTTGCCATGAGTACTCCAGGGAGGCTCTGGGGAAGTCTGGAGCAATGAGCGGTGAGAGTATGTATTGCTTCAGACACCCAGGTCCTGTTCATGGCATGCAGCAATCCTGACACCAGGGCTCTTGTGTCTCCCAGCAGAGCCTTGAATGATCTGCCTTGGGCAACTAGCTCCCAACACCCATGCACACAGCTTTGCCACAACTACAATCTCTTCCTGCTCTCTGCAGTTTCACTCCTCAGTCCCCTCTAAGTGATGCTTGTCAAGCCTGACCTGTAGTCCTTCCTGTTTACTATACCAGCTCTGAGTTGTCCTTGTTCTAGCCATGCCTCTCACTCCTGGCCCCTCTACCCATGTTGCTACCTAGCCCCAAGTTCTGGCATACCTCTCTGTCCCTCACTCCTGACCCAAAGCCCAAACTATTAATAGCCAGACTATTCTAGACTGTGCCTGGGGGTCAGCTGCAAGGCGCTGACCTGTAGGAAGCACAGCAGCTTGTGGAGTTTCCTGCAGGCAGGAAACCTCACTGTTTCTGTCCTAGGACACAAACAGCCTTTCAAAGCACTTAAACTGTCAGCTTCTGGCCTCTGAAAGCCCTGAAGTGAGGGGCAGTTCAGCTCGCCATGGCAGTGGTTCTGTAAGAAAGATGAAAGCCCCTAGGGTCTAGGTTTGGAGTCATACGAATCCTTTATTCGTTTGAGTCCAAGAGGTATGAATGGACTTGTAGGAGTCTGGGACTATCAAGGAGAGTGTTTGTCAGCTTGGGTTGGACTGGGTGCATGAAGCCAGTGAGACAAAGCAGAAGGAGTCTGGTGTTAATGTGGAGCAGTGGCAGGTGGGATGGTCTGGGGTAGCACAGTGTTTAGCCAAGTGACACTCTGCGGTGAATGGTCTCTGCCAGCATCCGGGTGAGAAGGGGTCTTGGGTTCATGTGGGCAGGGAGCTCCTGAGATCCTGGCACCGGTGAAGCACTACTGGAGCAGTTGGGATGGGAGTGGCTCATGCCCCTCAACCACGCAGGGGCCTGCTTAGCACTGTTGGCTTTGATTCTGCAGGGACCCTCCTAAATGTGAGTGTCAGTGACCAGGGCCACTCGGACTCTCTCTTCCTGTCCTGGGATGAACCAGAGGGGGATGCTCTGGGCTACTCCCTGGCCCTCTACGCGCTGGAGCCGGACTCGCTGCTGCAGAATGGATCAGCTGGACCCAACGCCACCAGCTTCCAGTTCAAAGGGCTCGTTCCGGGGACGCACTATCGTGCTGAGGTCACCGCTGCTCTAACTTGTGCAGCAGTCATCAGAGAGGTGGTGACTGGACAGACAAGTAAGAGCTTCCTAGGGCATCAGCTGAGGGGTCAGCAGTGATGCAAAGGGCAGGAGTTACATGAGGGTGAATCTGAGTGGAACCTGCCCTCTCTGAGCTAGAGGGGGCTGTGCAGCTGTGTGGGGAGGCAGGGTCACTCCCCCTGCACCCTGCTGCACCAGGCAGGGGACAGGCTTCATCATGGTGTGTCCAAGAAAAGGTTCTAGCCCTGCCTTTCCCCAGTGGGGGTTGACGTAGTGCCAAGGGCTACCCCAAAACCATGGCCTGGAGAAGGGCTGTGCAGAGCCTAGAGGGGCAGGAAAAGCCCCACGCACTAGGGTAGGAAGGGTGGTCCATACATAGTGCTAGGGCAGAGCCCATTAGATAGTTACCACTGTGCCTTAGGGTTAGATACAAGGAAATCCCTTCAAAAGCCTTTCTGTGCCAGGCTGTAATTCAGGGACTGAGCTGAGAAAGAATGGATCTGACAGGAATCCAACCAAGGGATCCTGTGGGGAGTTCTGGACCGGGGCGGTGTGATACGGCAGAGGGATCTAAACAAGAGACCCAGGTCGGGTGACCTGAGAGAGTGTGGGCAGATGGATCTGGCTAAGATGATCTGGTTGGGTGTTCGGCAGGACACGTGGGAAGATCTGGGCCAGTGGCTCTGGCAAGGGGTCTAGCAGACTGAGGTGGGTTGATCTAGTTGGGGGATCTGAGGAGGAACATTTTCACACTTTGCTGGCTCCCAGGTAGTGTGAATGGGGCAGGGGAAGCATGGCTGCCAGCAGACCTGTCTGTGTTGTGTCTGGTCCAGGCCCATCACCTGTACACAACGTGAGCCTGAGCAACCGTGGGAGCACCTCAGCCCTGCATGCCTCCTGGGTGGATGCCTCTGGCAAAAAGGATGGCTACCGGCTCGTCCTCTATCACCTTGATTCCCAGGTTGCTGTGCGCAATGAGTCTGTCCTCGCAGATGTCTCCGCATTCCTGTTTGAGGGGCTGCTGGCTGGCAGTGAGTATGCCCTGAAGATCACCACGCTAGCTGGGGCTAGCCAGGCCAGTACCAGCATCCACCAGTGGACAGGTAAGGGAGCATGGGGGCTGCAGCTCAGAGCCTGGGTGCGCTAGGGCTGGAGTGCCAGCATGTCGCTGTGCTGCGGCGGGGGCTGGCTGTGCTGCATGTAAGGGAGCTTGGGCTGGCAGAGGGCTTTCTTTTAGCCCTGGGAGCTGGGAGTGGGGGTAGTAGGTGGACCTGTGCATGTGTGTTCATGATGCTTCCAGAAATGAATCTACTCAGCTCCTGTTGTCCCCTCAGCACCCTCTGCCCCAGAAGAACTGAGGCTCCAGAACCTGGGCTCCAGCACCAGCCTCTTTGCCTCCTGGACCAATGCTGGGGGAGCTGCCTGGCTGCACCTCGAGCTTCACAGCCTCCCCTCCCCAACAGTGAGCAAGGCCATATCCACCAAGAGAGGCCTCACCAACTACACCTTCCAGCACCTGGACCCTGGCACCCAGTATCACCTGGCGGTGAGTGCCACGGCTGGAACCTACATGGCATCAGGGCCCGATGCCACAGCCTGGACATGTAAGTACAGCTCTCCAGGGACAATGGGACAGAGTTTGGGGCTGTAGGCTGTGAATAGCCATGCTATTTTCAAGGCTCTGGAGTCAAAGGGAGGTACTGCCAGTCTTGTGACAGTTGTGCGGGGTTACTCCTGCACTCAGGAGATACTTTCCATTTACAGTAAAAGTCAGTCATTGATTCTTATGAGGAAAAGCCTGGAGCCACAGCATCTAAGGGCTCAGGCCAGCAGGTAGTGAGAAATCATGTAAAACCTCTCATGATCTTGGGGGCTCTGGCTTCTGATTTGTGACTACATGGGGGTCAGTGATTGAGGGCAAGGGATTTCAAACCAAGCCCCTGAAATATGGTTGGGTGCAGCCAGAGGTGGCCCATTCCCCCCATTCTCCATCGAACTTGATGGTGAAGGGAACTGAGCATGGGGATTGCTTAGCAGAGATCAGGCTCTTCAGTGGGCTTCTTTGGCTGGGGAAGCCATGTCTTGTGTCCATGCAAGGTTATAGCAGGGAAGAGAAACAAGAAAATCCCAGCTGTCTTCTCTCTCCCCCTATGGATAAGCCAGCCTTAGCCCCTTGCCTTCCTAGAGCCAGAACAGGATCTACTGCCTCCTCCTCCTCAAGCTAGAGCAGGCCCAGAGGCCAGGTGGGTGCTCCCAGCTTCCCCAGTGGCACCTGGATCCTTGATTGAATCTCCCAGCTCCATGGCCGTGCCTGTGGGTAGCACTGCCTGCAGAGTAGTGTAAGTGCAGCTCTCCTGTGTTGGCCTTGTGCATAATAACACTCTGCTGAGCTGCACAGACAACCCCAGCATCTGCCCTCTTAATGGACAGAACTGGGCAAGAAATTGGAGCCTCCTCTCCCAGGCTGCAGCAGCAGCCCCACATCTGCATGGAGACAAGGACTGCTTCCCTTCAGCCACCACCCTCGCCCACCCCTGTCTCTACCCTCCCTGTGACACTCTTGACAGGCAGCAATCCCTCGACTTTCTCTTCTCTCGCTGATTCTGGCATGTGGCCCTTGGTGGTTACCACCCTCTTTCCTGCACGGCCAAGCATTGAGTTTGCTGCTGAGAGATGAGGAGACATGAGAGGCTGAGCCTATGTGGGAGGGGAAGCTTTCTAGGAAAACTTCTCTGTGACGTGGGCAGCAGCTGCTCCTAGCTAAGTGGGACATTCTGGACCAGGAAAGGCGAAAGCCCAAGGGAGATGCAACACATTTTGAAGTCACCTTGGCAGCGCTTCCTGCTCTCAGGACAAAAGGGATGTAATGTCAGGCCTGATTGGGACCCCTGCCCCACAACAGGAGCAAGTGGATAGGGCGAAGTACAGGAAGGAGCTTCAGACTCAGAAGCGGGGCTTCCCTGGATTTTCCATTTGAATGGGTGAATACCCAGTGTCCACAATGAATCTTGCCCAGGGCAAAGTGGAGCTGGTCCCATGGCAGCCAGTAGCCTCCCCCTGGGTTGTGTGTGATCAAAGTAGCAGGGAGGCGCTGACACAAAGCCTCTGTGCCACAGTGGTCAGGACCCCGCTGAGCCCAAGCAGCAGGGGTTTCTGGCTGTCCCTGCAGGTGCTGGCCACCCTGTGCTGGCTGACCTCTCACAATGGGATGAGGTTGCCCCTGCTGCCCACTTTTGTGTGTCATGTTTGGACCTTGTTACTAGCAGTGGGGCCAGTTGTCTGTGTGCAGAGGCGCTGGCAGCTCAGCTTCGGTGCGTTGGTGTCCTGCAGCACTGGCCAGTCCTTTTGGCCTCTGGGTCTCATCAGAAGTGGGTTCCCCCACCTGCCTCTCCTGTTCTAGCAGCACAGGACAGCCAAGCCCTGTTAGCTCAGCTGTCAGCAGAGATTCCCAGGGCTCTGAGCCTGTGGCACATGCTGTGATCTAGCAGAAAGCACCCTTAGGCTTGATTTCAGGCCAAATGAGCTCCACCTTCAGCTACTGGCTGCTGTTCCTGTGTGCAACTTGTATCTTCCTGGCTGAGAGTCAGTGACAGCTGAGTGAATGCTGGCTGTGATCCTCATCGTTCCCAGGCAATTTGCTTCTCCTGCCCTGCTGTACTTTCTCATAGTGACCTCTGGGGTGGGGGTACTGTGGGACACCCATAATCCCTACACATAAGGGATACTGTTTGGGTGATGATGAAAGCTGCTGAGCTGAGGCAAGGTCCTCATTGTTATTATTTGTATTGGGGTGTGGGTAAGAACTCCCTCACCAAGCAGGACCCTACAAGGAAAACAAAAAAACCCTCTGAGTAATGCAAGTGAAGTTGCCTGGACGCAGGAGGCATGCTGCACTGCCCATAGAAAATGGAAAGGGTACTCCACAGAGGTCAGTCATTGCCCTCTTGCTCAACAAGTATCGTATGCTCACCTGCGTGAAGTTATGGTCAGGCTACATCAGTTATTCTCAGCCAGGGTGCTGTGGCACCTTGGGATGCCTGGAAGTCCTTTAAAGGGTGCCATGGGATGTCATGCAATATTATTACTGTTAGGTGTACAAATGTGGGTCACAAGATACAAGATAGACTGAGAGATTTCTGACCTGCTGTGGTCTTTCTGAGAATTTTGCAGCAAAAGAATCTCTCTATTACTCTTCTGTAGTCAAAAAGTTAGCGAGTTAAGAGCCGGCATCTTCTGAGAGGTGCCTTGAGCCTAACGAGGGGTGCCTTGAGTCCAAAGTGGTTGAGAGAACCCCATGGCTATATCCACACAGAGAGGCCTTGACCTGCAGCACATCTGCCAGTCTTTTAACATTTACAATCAGGCCCCAAGCAGCAAACCCAGTGCAGGTCACCCAGCATGATTCCTGGCCTCTGATTTATCTGCATTACTGGTCCCTATGCACTCCTGCGACATAGAGAACTACATTTGGGGAAACCAAGGCACAGAGAAACAATGTGACTTGCCCAGTATCACAGAGAAGCCTGTGGCAGAGCATTGAACCCAGGTCTCCTATATGCTAACTGCTCTCAGGCTTCCTGGTTGGGTTAGGAATATGTTTTTTACTCATCCTTTCTCGCTGTGAATAGTCCATAATAGTTCTGGCAGCAGTCAGGCACCAGGGTCTTCTCAGCCAGCAGGAGTGAAAGCAGATAGTGAACAGAGCGTTCTTGGTCCATTCATGCCAAACATGCAGGGGGATGTGACCTTCTCCAGAGAACAATAAACAGTTAGAGACAGTCGTGAGCTGCAGAATTAAGGTCCAGAAGTTGAATACTACAATCACAGGAGCTATGCTGCCCTAGGGGGTTGGCTGGCCTGGTATATTGGCTGTTTGTTTGTGCCTTGTTTGGATTTTGGGTGTGGGTGCACATTCTGAACTCGGAGGCTTTGTGCTGAAACCACTGCTATTCTGCTTCCTCTGGTCAGTGGACTGCCCAGTTGACTGCATCGTGGAGAAGTGCAGCTGTTTCTTGTGTTCCGGTTCCCTTCAGAAGCTGTGCATGTCATCAGCCAGTCTGGTTACTGCCCTAGACAGCCTGTGACTACGCTGGCTGCTGCTGCCTACAGTTTGTCCCATGAGAGAACAACATGTTGCACAATACCAAATACATTCAAGGGGAACATTCATGCTGGAAAGTTTTGGGCCGGTCTCAGGAATACTAATGAACACAGTGAAATGCAAACAGGGAGAATATAAGAATGATGTCCTGCCAGTGAGCAGATTGTCTCCCACAGGCAGGAGAGAGAGCATCATCATTTAGGACATTTAAAACTAGGCTGAAAGCAGCCTAATAGCATATGGGGTAGAGAGCAACCCTGCCTCAGCCTTTGTGTATTTGAGTGGGGTGGTAAAGTCTGTGCTGATGCTAAAGTCTGTGCTCAATTGACCATTTGATTCATGTGTTGGTCTCTTCCCAAGGAATTCTCTTCGTACACGGAGTGTGGGCCTTGTTAGAGATAAAGTGGCAGGGCTGCATGGGGGATGCTACTCACTGCAATCACAGTTCATGATGTTAGCGTGAAACACTCTCCCAGAAGTGAAGATGCGTTCTGAGGGAGTGTGAGTGGGTGATGATGGGGCGGTCCTAGGTATTTTTTCAGTCACCTATGGATTTGAGGTGACATGCACCAACCTCCTTCCCCACCTGTTCTCTCTTCCAGGCCCACTAAGCCCAACCAATGTGTCCTTGAGCAGTGATGGGGACAATGGCTCCTTACAGGCTCAGTGGAGCTCCCCAGCTGGAAACAGAGACTTGTATGTGGTGACCTTGCAGCAGGAAGAGAGTAAAACCCCCACCAGGAATGTGTCTGTGGGAGGAGACAGCACTCGCATCACATTTCACAGTCTGAGCCCTGGGAAGCAGTACACCGTGCAGGTGACAGCAATGGCTGGCCCTTACAGAGCATCCTCCCAGAGTGCAGCCACCTGGACACGTAAGTAAGCCTGAGTCCACCAGGCTGGCACACCTAGCCAACAGGCACTGGAGGGACAGGAAGTCTCACTGCTGAAGGGCTGAGCCATTAGAGAGACCACATACAGGGATGGTTTTCAGGTCACTGTGGCTAAACCTCACCCACGTATGAACCTGGGGCGGGAAGGCCAGAAGCAAGAGGTGCTGGAGAAAATGGGTGCGGGCTGTGCCCCCCTCAGCACTGGGCACACGGCTTGCCTGGGCACATTGTTGGTACTGGCATGACCACTTGGTGACCGTGAAGGAACAAGGGTGTGAGACCAGAGTGCTGGTCTTAGACATCTGACCTGGCTCCAGGTCCCAAAGGCAAACCAGAACCTGGGGCCTGGCTCATAGCCCCATGCCAGGTGAAGCAGCAGCCTCACACTCCATGTCCAGGTTTTGCCTAGCACAAACCTGATGGGCACGCTGCATGGGACTGAATGGGCCAGGAAGACAGTCTTTTTCAATCCCCATTAGCCAGGATGAATAAGACCGTCTGTCTTCCAGCATTGCCCTTCCCCCAGCACTGAATTCCCTTTCACTGAGTGACAGGGGCCCATGTAGAAGACAGCCTCTGCCCCTTTCCCCAGTCCTGTGCAAGAAGAGGCTACCCTTTGTGTCCCAGAGTTTGATGTGGCCAGGGACCACCCTGCCCATGTGGTTTCCATTTAGGGGCAAGGGGATCTACTCTGGCTCCTCTCAGTTCAGTCCCAGAATGCAATGCTGAGGGGCTGCCTCATCCCCCTGGAATGCATGTGGGGAGGACCATGCCAGTATTCCTTGTGTGGGGAGCACCCTGGGTACCTTCCTGCATGTGCAACTACAATGCCCGGCTCTTTATGCCTTGCAGAACCTGTAGCACCACCTGGTGCAAGGCTCTCCAGCCAGGGAAGCCCCTCTACCCTGCACGCTTGTTGGGAGGAGGCTACTGGATCAGGGTATAAGGTGGAGTTATACACCATGGAGCCCCATGCACTGGTGTTGAGCAGTTCTGTACAGAGGAGCATCACCAACCTTACCTATGAGGGACTGAGCCCAGGGACCCAGTACACCCTTGTGATCAGGACGATAGCTGGGCTGCATGCCTCTCCACCCCTGCAGATTGCCAACTGGACATGTGAGTGCTTTTGCCCATGTACTTATGGGACTAACAGGGCTGGAGACAGCCTTAGCAAGAGGCCGCGGACATACACAAGTGGCTAGTGCTTCCCATCTCCCCAGACTCCCTTTGGGTGTTGCAGATCAGTGGTTGTATATCCCAGATGTTTCCTTTGCTGAACAGAACAGCAGAGAGATCAGAAGAGCTATGACGTTTGTGAAGCACATTAAGCGATGGGTTGGCATAACCCAGACAAGCACATCCAGTCAGACTGTGGAGCCATCTAGCCGGGCATCCAGCCTCCTGCTGTTGTTTCAGATCCTTTTGTGGTACTGGATCTGGCTGCATATGCACCTTGGCCAACACTTTTTCCTCCTGTACTGGGTTATGCCAGAGGTTGCTTTCAGTGATCTCCCATCACCTGCCAACCAGCTCAGTGTTGGTCCATCCAACCTGCATCCCATCCACCAGGGATTCACTCTTAATGCTTCAGCTCAAGGGGCTCTGTACTGCACCTGAACAGCAGCATGATGCTGTGCCTGAAGGGCTGGCAGTGACCTGGTAGATCCTAAGCAGGCCTCATGGGTGGAGCGTGTTTGTCTTGAGGTTATCAGGAGGGGTTCTCTGTTCTCCAAGGCCCTGCCCTCCACTGTGGGAGCAGAGTTCACCGTGGAGGGTGGTCTGAGCCTGGCATGTCTCAGGCCACAGCACAGGTCCACTCCATTTCTAATACCTGGCTGCAGCTTTGACTGTGACTTGAGTCCCTTTCCTCTCCCAGATCCATTGCCACCAGAAGAGCTGAGCCTCAACAACCGTGGACACAGCACCTCATTGTACGCCTCCTGGAAAGGAGCTCCTGCTGTCAGCATCATTCACTACAGAGGTGTCCTTTTTGAGACCAAGTCTCAGGTACAGATCAGGAATGTGTCCCTGGAGAAAAGCTGGACTAATATCACCTTTGAGGGGCTGAGCCCTGGACGTCAGTACACCCTGGAGATGGCTGCTGTGGCTGGACCTTACACATCCCCAGTGTGCACAGCCATGGACTGGACGTGTGAGTATGTGACATCTGCTGAGCTCAGAATAGTGTCTCCCAGCCTGGTGTTATCTGTTCACCTTGCTCTGCCCACATAGAAATGTGACAGTCCAGTGGTTAAATATCATGTTACAGTGATGGGCGCTTTGAGGTGCCTGGTGGTTGGATGTCTGAAGATGGGTGGACAGATGTGGGAAGGCAGACGGTGATGTGCACAGGTATATGCTGTGAGGATGGAGGAGGAAAAAATGATGACTGTGAGGGCCAAATTCAGGCTTGGTGTAAGCAGTTTAGAATCACATGAAGTATTGTGCAGTTAAACCAAGGCTAAACGTAACCTCTGACAGTTATTTGACTCTCTTCCCTCTGGCCTCTTGTGTATCACGGACATCTGTGCAAAACAAGTGCCCATCCCTGCAGATGGTAGCATTTTACACCCCGTTTACCAAGGTTTCAGTGAAATCCAGGATGTTGTTCTCCTCCAAAACCCACTCATGCTAAGTTTTTCTAGGTGTAGCAATTTGTGTTGATGCGTGCTTAGTGCTCCTCTCCATGTGGCTAGAGTCTCTCCCACCAACTGGCATCATCCTATGGGTCTGTTTCACTGCAAAGACATGTCCCCACTGGCCTTTGTGGATTTTCTTGCCATTGGGAGGTGACTAGCCTTGTCAGACAGGCTGTTTCACATACCACCAAGCAGCGACCTATGGTGGTCCTGCCTATGCCCCAGACACCTGCAGGGTATGTGCCATGTCCTGCATGCCTTCAGCATGTGATGCTCTCCATGCTTTCAATGCAAGGGACTCCCAGAAGGAGTTATAGGAGAACTGGGCTCCTGACAGTAAATATTCCCAAAACCTAAAAAGAGGCAGTGCCATTGCTGGTTCCTCGAGTGATATGGTTTTGGGGCTATGCATGACTGTTTGGTCTCAGTGTGGGGCTTGACCCAAGACTTTCTGATTTCTGGCACAAGACTTGCAGGATTTAGCAGATCAGGCTGTCTGAGATCAATGCAGCTCGTCAAGATTGGAGATGCTTATGCCCTTCTGTGGCTGAAATCTCAGTCTCCTCCCTCCACATGAGCATTTTAGAATGGAAACCACCTTTGATCTTTTACCGAGCTTCTGTATGGAGCCCATCACTGTAATATCTGGATATCTCCCATACCGATTAATTCACCTTCCCATTTTACAAATGGGGAAACCAGGGCACAGCAAGGCTGGGTAGCACACTCATGCTCATATCATAGTGGAAATGGGAATAAGCCCTACATCTCCTGACTCCACCAGCCTGTGCCCAAAGCACAAGCCCCTCCTTCCTTGTCTCAATAGTGACACTGCATCAGCCCCGCTCACTCCTCTGCTGCTTGTTCTCTGTGTCCCATGGCTACTTAGGCATCTCTTTCCTTTCAGACCCTTTGGCTCCATCTGGCGTGACTCTGACCAGTAAAAAACATTCCTTCGGTCTCTCTGCCTTTTGGGACAAGGCTTCTGGTGACAGGGACGAGTTCCTACTCCAGCTGTACAGCAGGGAGCACCCAGTGCAAAGGAACATCTCAGTTGGGCCAGACACCCAGAACTTCACTTTCCTAGGGCTTCTTCCTGGAACTCAGTATTTCCTAGAGGTGACAGCACTGGCAGGGCCTTACAGCACCTCATCACAGCCTGCAACTGAATGGACATGTGAGTATGGCCACAGCCCATGGAGGCGGCAGGACAGGGCTCCTGAATGTTTTATGCACAGAGCTCTGTGCAATAATAAAGGGACTCCATTTGGACTCCAGCAGCTTGGATCTTTATTTTAAGTGCACTGTATTCAGTGCTGCTGCTCACAGCCATGAGGTGCACTGTGTGCTCAGTGCTCTTGTGAAATTCCCCAAGCACATGGCGCTTCCTGGAAACTTCCCGAAGTCACCCTGCAGATCATGTCCCCTACAGCTCTTGTTCCAACTGGTGTTGCCTGTGGTACCAGAGGCACTGTGCTGGCAGGGTTTGCAATAGCATAAAGGCTGCTCTGCCAAAGCACTCAGCTGTGGGGACATTCCCTGGGAGCTGTGGGTATTCAGCACATGGGAATCAGGTCTTGATGGCAGCCTGTGGGTTTAGGCCCTAAATTGGCCTCCATACCCTGGAGCAGCTTTGAGGGCCCTGCTTTCCAGTTCAAGCTTCCACGTGTGGAGCTGGAGCTAGAGCTGGCATTGAGAAATTCAGGTTTGAACACAGACTCACACCATTGTAAGCAGGAAGAGTGCAGAGCTCACAAGAGCAATCCCCATAGTCTGGGCCTGTCTCTGTGCTGGTGGACTCTGTAACAGTACCAGCCCTGTCCTGTACTGGAGAGACGTGTGGTGCCTTGGCAATACCAACACATGCTCTGTCTTCATTAGCTAGTGAAATGCTGGTAGAGGGTGCTCTGTGTCCCCATCTAGCATCTGCTTCAGCAAATGCTTTGCAGCCTACCACCATTGCCAGCCGATGGTTCCTGACCTTTATATCTGAGGCGTGTGTTGAGGATTGGAAAGGATCTATTTATAGCTGAGGACTTATCTGTGTTTGAGTTGTGTCGGGGGACCGGTTGGTTCCTTCCCCATCCTATTCTAACACATCTCTCTGGCTTCACTCCACCCCAGACCCTTTGTCACTGGCTAACGTGAGTGTACGCCAAGGCCAGAGCCCCCAGGAGCTGCATGTGAGCTGGATGGAGTCAGGTGGGGGCAGAGACCACTGGGTGCAGCTCTATGCCGATGAATCGCTGTCCATCATCAGGAATGTGTCTGTGCCACATGGTGTCACCCATGTGGATCTGGATGGTCTTGTGCCTGGGGCGCGGTATCGTGTGGACATCATCTCTCAGGCTGGACCCCACCGCACCTCTTCCCAGACAGCCATCGGCCACACAGGTACAGGACTCCTGCTCAGCACCACTGAGGTTACTCCCCAATAGCAGCCTCAGCAATGGCTTGGGAGGGGAAGAAAAATAGCAGCTGCTGCAGCACCTGTCCTACTACCTCCACTGCCCAGGGTGTACAAGCACCCTGTTATGCCTCTCTTCCTTCCCCAAGGCAGGCAGGCTCAGGCTGCCCTTCTTTATAGGCCTGAAGGAGGGCAGAAACCCAAGGGTCTCAGCCCAGACTCTGATCTCAACCTTGCAGGGAGTTCTTGTGGACAAATGAAGTACTCCTGAGTGCCCATTCACCCTGAATGCAGGGCTCAGGGAAGCCTCAGCTTTGTGCCCCACGAGTGCCGCCTGGTGGCAGGTTGTGCATCATGGCGCGGCAGTCTCTGAAGCAAGGTGAAACAGCAGCTGTGCACCGAGGGCTCAGGGGCTCACTGGGCTGAGATCCAGGAGCTGAAGTGGTGGGGGGGAGGGAGTGGGGAGTGCTATTCTGCCCTCACTCCCATCAGATGTGTACCAGCACCCTGGAGAACAGGAGCTCAGGCTGCCTGTGCATCATTACTGTGCAGCACCTTGAAAGAGAGGCAAGAGCTGCGATCTGGAGAATGACCTGCTTCTTCCTTCAGGCTGAGCTGAGGACGCAGAGTGCTGGTGCTGCTGCATGAGCTCCAGGCAGGCCCTCTCCTCCCGCGGCATCCTCCAGTCTATCACTGCTAACATGAGAGTGCCATTTCTCCCTTCTAGCCCCACTGATGCCGCTCCACCCACTGGTAACCAGTGGCGGTAGCACCTCGGCTCTGGCTGTGCACTGGGAAGCTCCTGCTGGGCAGAGAGATGGATACCTGGTGAACGTGTCTGAGGAGGGCTCCTCGGCCGCAGGGAAACATGTGGCTGCAGGGAAGAACAGCACCAGTGTCACTGTGATGGGGCTAGCACCAGGATCTTGCTACCATGTTGAACTCTGGGCAGTGGCCGGAGCCTACAGCTCTGACCTCCAGAAAGTCACTGGCTGCACAGGTGAGTGCTCTGGCTGTGCTCTCCCAGGTCTCCAAGGCCAAGCAGGGTCAGCTGGGGTTTGATGGGAGAACTGCCTGGAGCACCATAGTGGCAAGAGAGAGGGGAGGTGCTGGTGATGTGCCAGCACCATCCTGCCACAAGTGCCATGTTTCAGAGGAGACCTGAAATCACCAAAGACCCTGGCACCTCATATGTAGAGAGCTGGGATCCTGGTCTGACTTCCATGGGACAGTGGCTTTTTGCTTCCTGCAATCAGCCTGCACCTTCAGTTGGACACAGGCCCCTTCTTGACTTCCTGACCTGTTGCTGTTGGGCTTTACAGGGGTAGCAGCCCTGCCTCAGCAGCAGCTCCATGTGCTCCAGGCCAGTAGTAGGACTTTGCTTTCCCTTGCTGTTCCCCTTGCTCTGACTCCTCTCACCTCTGCCTTTCTCCTGCAGCTCCTGCTGCTCCGATGAACGTGAGCCTCACCAATGCAGGCAGCTCTTCAGTGCTGCATGCTGCCTGGGCTGAGCCTCCTGGGGGCCGGGACTACTACAGGGTTATTCTATACAGCCTGGCATCCCAGACCACAGAGCAAACTCAGTCCTTGGGGCCTGGTGCCCAGAACATCACCTGGACACACTTGGCTGCGGGAAGCAAGTTCACTGTGCAGGTCACTGCTGTCAAAGGCCCATATGAATCCTCCTCTCCTAACATCACCCAATGGACCTGTGAGTACAAGGCACATGGAAAGAGTCCCCACTGATAACCCATCAACACTGTTGCCCTCTACCCTGGGGAACAGCCCCAATCTGTCCCTGTTCCCTTCTGACCTCCAGAGACTGGCTCCTTGGCCCACCTTTGCCCAGCTCTTCCGGCATTCTAGGCCCCTGCCTCTGCTATCCTGGGAGCCAGCTCCATCCCATGCTGATTTCTTTGACCCAAGGACAAGTGCAGAGGCCCCTGGCAGGCCATCTCCTGCCCCTGCTTCAGGCCACAGGATTGCTGGCCTCAGTCCTGCATGCACCAGTGTCCTCTTAGAGCTCTCCCATGCCCAGTACCAGCCCTCTCTTGCTGCTTGCTGTTCTCAGGCAAACACCTATGTGCTGCAGCAGAGGGCCTGGAAAGGAGCTGGCCAGATGCTCCGGTTGCCTGTTAAACTATGGCAGAAACCAGCTCTTCTACCAGCCAGGATTGAATGCGTTTCCCCTTTTGTCCTTGTTTTCTAGACCCCCTGGCCCCTGCTAACCTCACCCTGGCCAGCCCCTCTGCTTTCACCCTGCAGGCCTCCTGGACAGGGGCAGAGCAGGGAGGTGAGGGCTACACCGTGGAGCTGTATGAGACCTCCTCTGGCAGCCTTGCCAGCCGGGTCTCACTTGGCTGGGGTGCAAGGAACCACACCTTCTGGAGCCTGAGCCCAGGCACCTGTTACAGCATGAGAGTGAGTGCTGCAGCGGGGCCCTATCATGCCATTGCCCCCATCCTCACCCACTGGACACGTGAGTACCACCCTCTGCTGCAGTTGCCTGCCCTGGTGGCAAGGGCTCTGCAATATGGAGACCCATCTTGCAGAGCCGTGTCCCACTAGACATCTGTGTCTCTCCATGGACAAGCATCCTAGGTCCCATCCTGCCTGTCAGGCCTACCCTGTCTGTCCACCTGTATTCAGGACACAAGGGATGCCAGTCCTGCTGGGAGCATTTCTGAGTACAGGATGGGGCACTCCACCCCCACACAGGGAG